GAGACAAACTAGAACCGTCTCCCCCTTTAGCGTATCAGTGGGGTTTTAAAGAGGAGATGAGGGAATGGGACATGAGAAATGAAAAGCAGGAGGGAGGGGGACCTGCAAGGGGACAGGTGCAGTCTCGCTGAGACTCGTCTGGTTCCTGCTCCTGTCCTTGCTGTTGTCTCAGGGTCCTGCTGGAGGGGTGGGGTCAGCACAGCTCTATGGGTGTTTTCCTTGGTTTCCCAGTGTCTGGACAGTACATGCAANTTGTGGACCAAGATTCTGGGCCCAGCTTATAGGGTCCCTGGGCTCAGGGTCTTTCACGAGGGCTGCCATTGGCATCTGCTGGGGCTGCCGTCTCATCTGAATGCTTGGCTGAGGGAACAGCCACCCTGAGCTCACTCAGGTGGTCTTGGCAGTATGCACGTCCTCCCAGGCTGGTGGCCAGAGACCTCCCTCAGTCCCCTGCCAAGTGAGCCTCTCCACAGGGCAGCTCACCACACGGAAGCAGTTTCACCAGAGGAAGTGAGTGAGAGGGCGAGAGAGAGGGCAGAGTCCAAGTAAGAGGAAATGCACAGTCTTTTGTAATCTAATCTCAGGGTTGACATCCTCTGGCTTTGGCGGTATTCTATTCATCAGAAGTGAGTCCTTAGATCTGGTCCTCGCACAAGGTTTGGGACTGATTGCTCAGGGTATGAATAACAGGAGGTGGAATCATGGGGAGTTGTCTCAGGGGTGGCCTACTGCGTGCACCCTAGAGAACCACTGACTCTCTGTGAGGTGGAGGCTTTTGTGCACCAGGCCACATCCCCCCTCAGTGTCAGCACTGTGCATGCCCTCAGGGTCTCCNCTGACACATAGTAGGTGCCCAATAATACTTGTTTAATGAATGAATGAGTTGGGGGTTGCACCTAGGTAGTTTGCATGAAAGCAAAAAAACGAAAAAGCACTCTGGCCAGAAACCAAACCCACCGAATTGCAAACCAGACCTCAGCACTTAAAACATCTGTTTTTACTTCTTATGGAAATTTTGAACAAACAGAAAGCAGTGAGAATAGCACGTCACTGAGTCGCAACGATTGTCAACTGTTACCGTCGTCCAGGTCCTGCTGCTCTCCTCTCAGAAACAA